AAATGGGGGTGAAATTACTGAGAATCCATAGGATGGAATCCAGCTGGGGATATATACAGTCCTGCTGTGACCTACAAATATTCTTGTCCAGGTTTCCTGGCTCACTGAGCAAACTGCAATTCCCCCTTCCTTTCTTTTCTTCTTTTTGATAATACATATATATATATATATATAATATATTTACCATTTTAACCATTTTTAAGCGGTATTAAGCACATTAATTCACAATGTTTTGCAACCATCACCACCATCCATCTCCAGAACTTTGTCATCTTCCCAAAATAAAACTCTGTCCCCATTAAACACTAACTCCTCATCCTCCTCCCCAGCCTTGGCACCCATCATAACTCTAACTCCTCATCATAACCTCCTATGAATGGAATAATACAACACATGTCCTTTTGTGACTGGCTTATTTTACTTAGCATAAGGTCTTCCAGGTTCATCCATATTGTAGCATGTCAAAATTCCCTTCCTTTTTAAGGCTAAATTCTCTTTCAAAAATAGCGATTGGGTTCAATCAATATGGCTCAGTAGTTGAGCATCAACCTATGAACCAGGAGGTCAGGTTTGATTCCTGATCAGGGCATATGCTCTGGTTACAGCCTCAATCCCCAAAAGGGGTGGGCAGGAGGCAGCCAATCAATGATTCTCTCTCATCACCCATGTTTCTCTCTCTCTTTCCCTCCCCCTTCCTCTCTGAAATCAATGAAAATATATATTTTTAAATGAACCTTTACCATGGACATAGACAATAGGGTGGTGAAGACCTGAGTTGGGGGGTGGAGGATAGAGGTGGTCAATGGGGAAAAAAAAGGACATATGTAATACTTTCAACAATAAAGATTTTTTTAAAATAAAATGAGCCTATAAATAAATAAAAAGAAACAAACAAACCATGGTGCTGGAAGAGGTCACCTGTCTTCCCGATGCCTTGGTTCCCTGGGCTGTTCCTTGGGATTCACTGAATGCACAGCACTGGGGACTGCACAGGCCACCTCTCATCAGTCTTAATTGCTCTTACCAAAATGTCTCCAGCCCAACTGGTGTTGCTGTTTTCGAGTCTTGACCTATGGACCAGGTCACCATTGGATTCCCAGTCAGGGCACATGCCAGGCTGCAGCTCCATCTCCTGTGTGGGGAGGAGGAGGGAGGGCCTGAGGGAGGCAGCCAATCAATCAGTGATTTTCTCTCTCTCATCATTGATGTCTCTCTCCCCCTATCCTTCCTCTGAAATAAAAACATATTTTAAAAGATTACACAAATAGAATAAAAATTACTTCTGTGGAAATAATTTAAGTTATACTTTATATACAATTTAAATACCATCTTAATAAGTAATTGCTAAAATAAAAAATTTTAAATTAAAAAAATTTAAATATATTTTTATTGATTTTTTTTTTTTACAGAGAGGAAGAGAGAGGGATAATTAGAAACATCGATGAGAGAGAAACATCGATCAGCTGCTTCCTGCACACCCCCTAATGGGGTTGTGCCCGCAACCAAGGTACATGCCCTTGACCGGAATTGAACCTGGGACCCTTCAGTCCGCAGGCCGACGCTCTATCCACGGAGCCAAACCGGTTTGGCCAAAATGGCATTTTAAATTAGACTCTTAGATGTATAAAAAATTTTTACACCTCTTCTTCCCACAGCTCTGAACAAACAAGAACCCGCCTTCCCTCAGGCCCCTGTGATCTTGCGCTCAGGCAGCACTGTGGCCAGCCCGCCGGCCGGCGAGGACCCCACACAGCCAAGATGGCGGCGCCCGTGCGGCGGGCCCGCAGCCTGCTCGGGCTGGCGACAACACTGGGCCCGGGCTTCCGTACCTACCGGGCGCCTCCGCCCCCGCGCCGCTGGCCTGGGCCCTGGTGGCCAGATCCGGATGATCTACTGACCCCGCCATGGCAGCTGGGGCCGCGGCACGCGGCCAAGCAGTTCGCGCGGCACGGCGCAGCCTCCGGGGTGGACCCCGGTTCGCTGTGGCCGTCGCAGGCACAGCTACGCGAGCTGGAGGCCGAGGAGAGCGAGTGGTACCCGAGCCTGGCGGCCATGCAGGAGTCATTGCGGGTACAGCAGCTGGCCGAGGAGCAGAAGCGTAAGGCCAGGTGCGTGCGTGCGTGCGGGGCTGCGGGTCGCGCCCTTAGTGGCCCAACGCGTGAATTGCACCCCAAGGGGCCTTTATCGTGGGGCTTGTGTTGCTGTAGATTTACGTGGTGCAAAGCAGACTTCTGAGTAACTGTTCAGGCGCCTACTGTGTGCAAGGCCTGTCCCAGGTGCGGAGGGGGACACAGCAGGGCACAAAACATTTCAGATGGCAACAGAGCTATTAGGAAGATAAAATTTGGTGAAGCGTGCAGTCGGAGGGCGGCTTTGGTTTGGGACTTACACTTGATGCTTAAGCAAAGATCTGAATGACCACACAAGGAAATGTTCTGGATAGAGGGAACAGCTAAGGCCCTGAGGTAGGAACGTGCTTTCAGGAACAGCCAGGCCGTCATTGGAAAGTGAAGAGGTCTGGAATCAATAGCAAAGGTCGGATTCGTAAGTAGGTCTAGACTCTAAAGGATTAGATTTAACCAAAGTATGGAGGCAAGACTAGGGGCATGAGGGTTGCACCCCTTTCTGGAGTGCGGAGCCAGCCAAAGCAGGCAAGGTGGAGCAGGCCATTTGTGTTCTCAGTGTTTAATGTTCTTATTTGCACAACAGCTCTGAGAGGAAGGGGGGGAGGGGGGAGACCACCTCAGTTTTAGAAATGAGGAAACTGAGGCCTGGGAGAGGGAGTCACCAGTTCATCACCCAGGCAGTGAACGGTGGATATGATGGATATAGAATGGGAACCTCTCTCCTATCTCTGCCCCACCCCAGCTAAATAACCATCATAAGGCTTTAGTTCTTCCTGCCTCACATTTCTGATCCTTAAAATGGGCCTATAACTGGCACCAACACACTCAGAATTGGATGGAAAGGTCCAATACATTTCTTGTCTTTACTCTTGGCCTATAACTGGGCCTGGCTTACAGTAGATGGTCAGTTATGTCCCCGGGAATGGTGGGCATGGTGTATGACACAGGTGGTTCACTAGACAGCTTGGTGAAATGTTCATTTGGGGTCTGCTCCTGAGGGTTATTGGGGCTTGGTCCTCTCATACTCTAGGTCATACATAAATTAGTTCATCTCTACTGCTTGTTCACTAGATAATGGCCAAGATAAATCTTCTCAGTTTTTCAACTCCATGGAGGAGTTAGAAAGCAAGGTGTGGGCAGACTAGCTGAAACCGGTTTGGCTCAGTGGACAGAGCGTCGCCTTGAAAGGTCCCAGGTTCCATTCCCGGAAGAGCATGTACCCTTGTTGCAGGCACATCCCCAGTGGGGGGTATGCAAGAGGCAGCTGATCGATGTTTCTCGCTCATCGGTGTTTCTGTCCCTCTCTCTTCCTCTCTGTAAAAAAATCAATAATATATTAAAAAAAAAAAAAAAAAAGATGTGGGCAAACTGGAGGGTGTGATATGGGTAGATGTGTGCTTCTCTGGTTCGGTGTCACTTTCCTCACCTCCCACCCTCCTTCCCCTACAGGGAGCAGCTCATTGCAGAGAGCATGGCCAAGATGCCACAGATGATTGAGAACTGGCGGCGGCAGAAGCAGGAGCGCAAGGAGAAGGAGAAGGCAGACAAGGAGCGGCGAGCCCGGCTGCAGGCTGAAGCCCAGGAGCGCCTGGGCTACCACGTGGACCCAAGGAGTGCCCGTTTCCAGGAGCTGCTGCAGGACCTGGAGAAGCAGCAACGCAAACGCCTCAAGGAGGAAAAACAAAGACAGAGGAAGGAGGCAAGAACTGCTGCGATGGCTTCCACTGCAGACCAGGACCCACCAGCCTCCGTGGCACCCAGCTCCTGAGCTCTTCTTTCTCAATAAAACCTGCTGCCCAGCAGCCTCACTCTTAGAGAGCTGTGTCCTCTCAATAAACTCTTCCCTAATATGTGAGGCCAGGGAATCCCCATCCTCCCATCCTTCCCTGGCGCTGCTCACTGGGGGACTCTAGACCATGTTTCAGGAGAGAACGGGGGATGCAATGAGGAAATAATGTAGGAGCAGATGGCAGAGGAGAAGGCTTGTTTACCAACATTAATCTCCAGTAATTATGGGGGGGGGGGGGTAGCCAAAACAGACTGGTGATGATGGGGGATGGGGGTAGGAACAAGCCCTTTCAAGACCAAGATGGGACTGGGGCCCACTGCAGGGAATGAGACAGCTTCTGAAGGAGGAGGATACACTGGGAGCGCCTATCTGCACAGGCTGACGAGCTTCTGTCCCTTCTTGGCATTCCCAAATTGCCTGTGCCCAACTAACCCCCAGAGCCAGACAAGCTGGAGTGGGAAGCCCCAGCAGGCACAGACCACAGATGGGCTTTTAAAAGTTTATTCACTTCAAAACCTTTAGCAGAGACAGGGTTCTGTTCTGGGGTGGCCTTGACCTCCAGAGCAGCTCTGATGTTACCCCTTCCCCAGACAGAAGCCTGGCCGCTTCCTCCCATTGAAGTGATGCAGGCTGGAGGCCAAGGCCAGAATGTGCTCACCCCAGATGGGAAGATTTGGGCCATTCCAACAGAGGATCAAAGTTTGGGGCTCCAGCTTCCCCTCACCCTGGTGAGGGGGTCTTTGGGGGATGGGGAAGCAAGCAGCCGCTTCTCCATCTGGCTGCAGGGAGCTGGGACAGAGGCCGAGGGGCCCATCTGTCACCCCCGGTCCTGCCAGCTCCTTAAAGCAGGAGCAGGCTGAGCTAAGGCAGGGAATGGGGGGACAGCTGTCTAGCCCAGGTCGTCTCAGGCTAAGATGGGAATAGGAGCCATTTCAGGAGGCTGGGAAGTTGGGTTGTGGTGTTTTTTAAAGATTTTTTTTCCACTTCTTAAATAAACATGAATATATATATATATATTTTTCTTTTATAAAACGTTTGTAGATTTGGGGGTAGGGTGGGGCAGTAGGCAGCCTGGCTTCCTGGCATCACTCATCATCAAAGTTCTGACTCAGGAGGAAGTTGGCAGCCAAGTTCTCGTTTTTTTCACAGGCGAAGTAGGCCTGGATCACCAGGCTCTCTGGGAAGCCCAAGGCCTTCAACTGTGGGAAGATGGGCAGGTATGAGCAGGGGTTGAGGGGACCTGCCCACCAGTAGGGTTGTCCCTCAGCCAGGCCTCTTACCCTCTCTATAGCTTCCTTCTCCTGTGGCGTCACCTGGATGTAGTTCATCTGTGGGGCCTCCTCGCCTATGGCACCCACCTCACCCTCAATGTCAGAGATGTCCGCCAACTCCCCAGGGGGCTCATTCAGCATCTGGATGAACTGCTCCTGGTGCCGGCTGATTTGCTGTGAGTGACAGAGGGCAGGGGATGATGACCCAAGGCCGCTGGCCCACCTCTCCAAGTGTATAATCATAGCCCTTGTTTTTCATTCACTAGTAAAGTATGTTGAAGGTCCCTATTCTAGCCAAATAGCAAGTGGTGAACAGACCCTGCCTGGTGGAGCTGATATTCAAGGGTGGTGGGATAGGCCATAAACAAGCAAGTAAGTGGGTAATTATTTACAATGTAAATATTGGGCTTGGCATACAGTAGGGCAGACACTGGGCTGGGAAAGACACTTTGGGCCAGGAGAGAAGCAAGTTTCTTCAGGCAGAATGTGTTGCAAGTGCAAAGGCCAAAGGGTGGGGATGCATTTGACAAATCCCAGAAACAAGATTCATTTGGCTAAACTGAAGGACACAAGAAGGAGGAGAGGGAAGAACAGAAAATTAGATTAGAGAGGAAAAGGGGGACCAGACCTGCTTTCTTCTATGGCCTTCTAGTGTAATGGGACACCACAGTGGTGATGGGTAAATCTGTGTACCTTTTAAAAACATTAATTCATATGGATGTTGCCTATCTGGGGGTTCTGATAAAACTGTCAACTTTTATGTACATAGGACAATTTTCATTTGAATGAAGAAAGTGCTTTTTTAAGATTCTATCTCCTAATGGAGAATGGGCTGTGAGGGCTGTGCAGAAACAGGCCTGGCCACCAGGTGGGAGGTGAAGTATCAGCCACAGAGCTAGAGAGCAAAGCTGGACTGACAGATGTTCTGGAAGTAGAGCAGATATACCAGGTGACAGACAACCCCACCAGGCTGGTCCGTGTGGGGACAGAAAGGGATGGGAAGAGGGTCTTTTCTGAAAACATAAAAGATACCTGGAATACATTTTCATGGAAGCATTAAATCAGCCATGGAAAAGCTGGCATCCAGAGGTCTGGCCTGATTACACAGATTTGGGGGTCAACACAGACCGAAGGCCCCAGGAGGATCATGGGGAGGACTGAGTGCAGATAAAGAACAGGTGTGCAGCCTAGGCTCTCCAGCTGCTGGAGGAGGTGAACAGGAGGAACCAGCATAAGACAGAAGTGGGGAGAGAAGCAGCAGACTGGTCCTGAACTGGGAGAGGCAGGCATTCATGGAGGACCCAGAGCCAAGTAGGACCCAGCAGGGTTTCAACTGCAATGAAACCCTACTGACATGACATGTATGAAGCACCAGCTGTATGTGCAGCTGAGACACAGAGTCACAAGACCCAGAAGACAGAGCACAAGAGCCAGAGCTGGAGGCAGACACTCCACCAGCTGCCCGCTGCTCCAAGCCTCTGAGGTCTTCTTCTATAATGGCAATGCTGACAGCACCCACACCCTCACATGGTGACTGGGAGGATTATACAGAACATAGGTCAAAGGGAGCACCAGGGGACTGCTGTTAGTCCAATTTTCCAAGTATAGAGGAGAATGCCTGCAAAGGTCCCGGACCAGGCTCCTCCTTTCGGGTTTTGGTTCCCACAGGGAGGAGAGGTGTTGGCCATACTGGCTCCCTCTGAGCCCCCAGGCCCGCACCTGCAGAAGCTGTGGGTTTTCCTGGCCCAGCTGCTGAAGCAGGGCAGGCAGCAGCGCTGGGTTCTGCTGAATCACCTGCCGCATATTCTGGAACTGGGGTTGGTCCCGCAGGAACTCCAGGGGGTTCTCTCCGGCTGGCAGGAGGGAGGCATGTAATGAGAACCCAGGCTGGGCTCCCAGAGCCTTGACAGCAGACACCCCACATGCACACCTCCCAAGTCACTCACCTGGTTCTGTGGCCGACTGCTCAGACACTTGGCTCTCCTGGACAGAACCATGTTCTGGCTCGGGACTCCCAGGAATTCCCTGTAGGAGTCCTATTTAGTTCTAAAGCACAGAAGACCCGCTGCCTCCCTCCTGCACACTCAGCCCTGGCAGGAGACAGGTGAGGCCCACCCATCCACTCATGTCCAACCTTTTGTAGAAAGCCTTTCCTGGCTGGAACCACAACCCAAAGGCTTTTGGGAGCAGGTTTTGCCTCCCTGACCACCCATCAAGGCACTGAAGCCTCCCCAGGAGGCTGTTCCCCAACCTCACCGTGAGTAGATACTCCACGGCTCGGTGGGGGTTGTTGTAGCTGGCTCTCAGCGCGGCCACGACCCGTTCCCGCTCATAGCCCATGGACATGATCTCCGTCAGCATCGTCTCATATTCAGAGCCAGTCACTGTGGAGGGAGCAGTGAGGTCTGGGTCACCAGGGGAAGGGAAGGAGAGCTCCCAGACCCTACTGAACCCACACAAGACCCAACTGATGGCTGGAACACCCAGTCACTCTGCCCCCAGGGACTGCCCACCCACCTAGCGTGGAGGCTGCGTCATCCTCTCTCCCGCTGCTACCTGAAGAAGGAACAGAGCTGCAAATTCAAGAGAGAGAAATCGGACCCTGGCTTCTGGAGGTCTGCCCACCCCGTGTGTTATGTGGGCAATGGGATGTGCTGGGAGGACCGGGCCCAAATTGGGGCTGCTGCTCCCTGCCTTACCCTGACACAGACTCCGGGGATGCCGTGGGGACTGATTCCTCCGATGGACTCCTGTCCTCTCTGACGGTAGGTGGGATATGGGACATGCCTGAGGCAGGGGCCAGCGGGAAGGATGTGGAGGACTCAGGGGCAGCAGTGGATGAGGCCTCTGGGGGTACTGAGGTGCCTGAGCTGTTTTTGGCCTGTCATACCCAGAAAAAGGGAGCAGGCATCAGTATCCCTATCAAGCCTCAGCATCCAGCCACAGCCAGGCCCCACCCTATTCACAGCTAATCTCTCATGGGCACACAGGCTCTAGCCAGCTCCCCAGCTAAGCCATGTAATCCTCACAACCAGCATATTTCACCCACCTTGGTCACCATGACAACCACAAAGTTCTTCTCATCTATGTGATAGTCCCTGATGGGGACCTCGTCACTCAGGATCTTGCCAGCATAGATGAGCTTCTGTCCAGCCACAGGAAAGGCATCACGACCCTTTTCAGCTTCTATCTTCTCCTTTAGCACCTTCACCTGCAGGAAGGGATGCAGTCATTGCAAACAGCAAGATTCTCTCTTCTCTTCTAGCTTGGGGAGAAGAGGCTGAAAGCCTTGATGACAGAGAAGCTAAGCTTCACAGTCAAGCATGCTAGATTTGAGTTATTTGATCATTCCAATATTCAACAGAGTATTGACAGAACATTTAAAATCTGTCACATGCTGTTTCAGACACTGAGATACAGCAGGAAACATAGAGATGTTTCATAGAAATGACACTCACGTGGGGGAAGAGGAAAAAATAAGTATAGATTTTAGATGATGAAAAGTGCGGTGAAAAAAACAAAACAATTTGGGGGGTTAAAGGGTTCCTCTTTCCACACTGCAGGCAGCGCTCAGTTCTTACTGAGAGCGTAAGTTAATAGGGCTATCATAAATGTATATGTGCCACATTTTTGGAGCCTCACAATAATTATACCCTCATTTCACATTTAAGAAAATGGAGGGACAGAGAGATTAAGTAATTTCTCCTTAAGTCAAAGAGTTAAGCAGATTAAAAAAAAAATCTGTATTTCCTTTTCTGCAAAAAGTGGATGTCAATGTCTCCTTCATGGGGTAGTTGTGCAAAAAGTGCCGAGTACATACACAACCCATATGTTTGTTGGGTCCTAAATTCCCTTTTCAGCTAAAAAAAAAAAAAAGCAGAATAATGCTTAGACCGTGGGCTCTCACATAAGGCAGAGGCGAATTTGAATCCTACCTAGCTCTGCCATTATTCGCTGTGTCAGACTATGGCCAAGTTCCTTTACTCTAGGTTTCTGGATCTGTAAAGTGAGAAGTCAGGAGTCCCCAAATAACAGGCCTGTTTTGTAGATTTAGTAAGATTAATAACAGTAAAAACTCAGCGACTAGCAAAGAACAAACGGTCAACAAACAAGGACCACTGAAACTCGGACCACTTATAATCATTATCATCGCTGCCGTCATCAGTGGGCATCTACTGGCCGCTACTCCCAGATTCGGCCACCAACGTCCAGAGGAGACGCCCGCAAAGCTGAGAACCCAGAGCCCCCGTCCCGGGGAACGGAGCCCAGCCGGGCATCCGAGCCAGTCTCCCGCGCCCCGCGAGAGCGCTGACATTAGACCCGGGGCCTGGCAGGCTCCCCGGGGGTGGAGCCTGGTCCGGAGACCAGACTGTGAGCGCCGCCCCAGCCACCAGGGGTTGGCGAAGACCACCAGGGGAAGGGGGCCAGAATGGTCCTGGAAAGTCAAGCAGGTTGGGAGGAGTGAACCCGGCCCGGACCGCGCCATCCTCCCTGCCCTCCCGCCGGGATCTCTGCCTCCCCGCCCCCATACCACCCTCTGAACCCGTCACTCCCATCCCAGGCTCTAGCCTGGCTCGCACCGTCTCATCAGGCTCCATGCGGATCTTAAAAGTCTGCTGCTGCAGTGTCTTGAGCGTGATGGTGACGGCCATGGCGGGGCCCGAGCGAAGCGGCGGCCCCGGGACCCTCTCACAACATGCAACTCACGCCGCCGCCATCTTAGTGCCCAGCCGCACCGCTTGCCGACCGCTTCCGGGGCAGGTGCTGCGCGCGCAGGCAATCAGAGCACGTGACCCTTGCGCGCGCGCTCTCTTTCCCTTCTCATTTCCCCCCGCCTCCCCTCCCACCTTGGGCTTTCTTGGGCATGCGTATGAGGCACCCTCGGGCCAGGCATGCGCACACTAATTCTGCGCTGCTGAGAGATGGATGTTCCCGGCTAAGCGAGCATGCCTGTCACGTGGCTTCGTGAGAGTGACGCCATGGCCGTTAGCAGTGACGTCATGCAACCACAAAATGGCTCCAGCGCCCCTACTTTCACCCTTGAGTTTATGACATTGAACAAAAATGTTCATGTACTTGTTATACTTATATTTCCCCATTGATAATCATCATTTTTGCACTTTCCAATATAGTTTTATTCTGGTTTGCCCACCCTGACAGGAACCCTGTCAGGCCCTGAAAGTATAACTTAAGACAGGGAAGGTCACCAATTAAACAAGTTAAATTTAAAAAAAGAAAAGGCATTTGGCTGTGGAAGCAGAGCATTTTGTGGCCTCATTCATTCATTCCTGAGCTGAATTTTTTGTAATGCCCCTTACTTTAAAATTTTGGGGTCTCCCCCGCCCTCTGCTCCTTTCCCAACTACTTTGCCCACCCCACTACCCCCAGTCTGACCCCAAAAGGATTTAAGGAAGATGTTAACTTTCAAGGCCCCCTATATTGAATACAGAAGTCTCTCCATAAACTTGCCAAACCTGGAGGCTTCCCACAGGATTGGGGCTCAGCCCCTGGGACACAGGAAACTTGGAGGCCAACCCAAAGAACAAAGATGAAGGGTTGGGTGTTTTGGGGGACTGGACGGACACGAGGCTGGATTTATCTCCCAGTTTATTACTTCCCTTTGAACCTGCTCTTCTCACGGTTCCCATCCAAGCCTGGAACCAGGCCTTTACCCAACCATACTCACTGCCCAACTGTAACCAGGTCCTGCAGCTTCTCCCTTTACTACGCAACCTGAGCCTAGAAGCTTCCACAAAGCAGGCCAGGACTTCAGTAGCAGCCTTGTGAACCCCAATACAGCAGACCTAGGCCAGACTCAGGAGCTCAGACCCTTCTGTCACCATCTCTGCATCAACTCAACCTCTGCACTCTCCCTTGAAGCCATCTCTCCAAGAAGTTTAAACTCCAGCTTGCCCATTGAATACCTCCTCCGAACTGTGATTGTAACAGGAATAACTTTTATCACTATCCAATTGCTCTATGTAGTCTTTCTCCATGACAGTAAAAAGTACATAAAATTGTTAATAGAGATGGTATAAGGTAGTGTGTAAGGTGTGGGTTTAAATCCCTTCCCCACCTCTTATATTTTGTACCGGTCTCCTCATCAAACTGAATTGATACTAGAAAACTCACCAGCAAGGACTCAATGAGTTGTGAGTTAATACCCGTAGTATCTATAATGGCACTTAGTCCTCCTTCTCCCGGTGCTCCTTTCCAACTACTTTGTGGGGATAAACAAAGAACCTTATAGCTTTATGGGACATTCTGCTGTTTTAGTGGCTGAAAAGCTAACCTTACTGAAGTCACCCACTAAGAAAAGGCCACCCTTCAGTCCCCTGATGTTTGTCTTCTCCCAAAAGGAGACACAGGAGGAAGACACAAAACTTAATTTAATAGAAACTTTGTTTGTAGTTGTTACATTTCTCAGTGTGAGCTGAGCTAGAACCGACTGCCCCACCAAGTGGCCCAGTAATGGAGGCAGGAAAGAAAGGGAACTGGTGGGGTTATCAGAGCTCAAGCCCAGGAGCCCAAATCTTCCTCAGTGCTGGGGGGCTGAGGGATCCATCCTCTTCTCCTTCCCCCCTCAGGGCTCCACACCCCACATGGAAGGGGAACTAAGGGATTTAAATGGGGGAAGGGGACAGAAGAGGGCAAAGATGTCAAAAAAGATGGGGGCCGACAGAGAATCAGAGACAAAACACCAATAAAAAAAAGGGGGGAAGGCGGGAACAATACCAAAATCTACCCCAAATTGGAACCCGCCTGGAAAAAAGGAAAGTTCTCCAGTCTCATAGAGACATTATTTGGCGCGGCCAGCTCTGTGACGGGAGCGCTCAGGCCTCAGTCCAGCCCTGGAAGCGATGGTGTGGCCCCTACAGCTCATCCTTGGCCTGGCCAGCAGCAGCATCTTCCTCCTCATCTTCATCCTTATCATCCTCATCCTCATCATCTTCGTCTTTGTCCTCATCGTCGTCTTTGTCTGCCTCCTCCTCTTCCTTGCGCTTCTTGTCCTCCTCTTCCTCCTTCAGTCTCTGCTCCTCATCCTGCTTGTCCTTCATTTGCTTTTCTGCTGCCTGTAGGCAGACAACAAACTCAAGGCCTGGCCCCCCACCTGCCTGCCCCACCTACCCCTCGACCAGGAATGGACACTTGTCCCACCTTTGTGACTCCCCACGTCTCCTTGCCAAACTCTTCGGCATACGCTTCATCATTGGTGATGAGGAAGTTGTCAAAGATGGTACCAGACTTGACCTGGGGAGGATGATGGATGGAAGGATGGTCAGAGTAGGGATACTCCGTGGCCCTGGTCTCAGGTTCAATAACCACTGCACATTGACACAGCCTAACATTGTGATTAAAAAAACAAGCTGACTGGGTTCAAAACTTATATGACCTTGGACTGGTGAATTCTCCGAATTTTAGTATCTTCATCTATATAATGGGGTGTCACCCCCTTCTGCATATATTTTTCTAGTACCTACTATGTCTCAGGTTCTAGGCACAGAAGGAGTACCTCACTGAACAAAAAGAAAAAATGTGGTCCCTCTGAAGCTAATTTTTTAAATGGGACTGTCTGTAACCACTTTTTAGGTCATTGGAGCAGTTAATGAGTTAGTTTAGACAAAGTTTCTTGAAGAAGTGCCTAGCACAAAGTATACAGAACCTCAAAGAGGTTCGTGTGTGGGAGGGAGGGAGAGGGGAGGTCCTGTGATATAGACCAGGAAATTCTTTAGAAAAAGCACCATTTTAGGCTCATACCTGCCTAGGGATGAATCCCACCCTCGTCCCTTTCCTCCTGGGTGATTCTGAGCACTTGAGGTCCCCTAGGGATCCTCCTGTTCCCTCCGTATCGCACCTGCCAAAGGTCCAGGCCCAGAACGGCGAAGTTTTCATAAGCATAGATACTGCTATCAGGAGAATACTCGGGGTTGTCGATCTCTGGATGAATCCAGGTGCCCTTGTAATCTGGATTGTCAATCTGCCTGGGCTTCCACTCGCCCTGCGGAAGGAGAAGGAATTGAAGGTGAGTGGAAGTCAGTGTGCTCCCCACTATGTACCCGCTCTGCTAGGAGCCCCAGGACTACCTTGTATTCCGGGTTCTGAATCACTGGTGGTTCCCACTCTCCATCCATCTCTTCATCCCAGTCCTCAGGCTTCTTAGCATCGGGGTCAGGGATGTGCTCGGGCTTGTCCCAGTCCTAAGAGTACACAAGGAGGTCAAAGCCATCCCAGCTCTCCACCACCCCTCTATGGTGGGAAGCCCCTGCCCAGGCACCAACCTCAGGTTTGGAGTCTGTAGGGTCATCAATCTTGGCCCGCTCATCCCAGTCTTCAGGCTTTGAAGCATCAGGATCCTTTATCTTCTTGGGAGGCAGGAAGTCCCAATCATCCTCCAGAGAGCCAGACTCCACCTGGCTATTGTCAATTTTTACCTCGTAGGTGTTATCGGGCCGTACAATCAGTGTATATAGATGTGTGAATTCATCGTCCTGAAGAAGGCAGGAAATGAGTGGCCCTGCCCACTGGACTGGCCCCTGAGCCTACCCCAGGCAGCCATTTGATACCACCCCTAGGCACACCTTGCAACGGATGTCCTTGTTGATGAGCACGTTCTTGCCCTTGTAGTTGAAGATAACATGAACCTTCTTGGTCCCAGGGCCACAGATGTCAGGGCCTAGGTGAGAAGCAGGTCCAGTTAAGGATTGGAGGTGGCTCACCATTGCTAGGCCTCCCACCCCTCTTTACAAAAGGAAAGCTTGACTCTTTAAACGCAGATTTATTAAGACTCAAAATACTCAGACCTTGACTATCTCTAAAAGACAAGGAATGGAGTACTGGGGAAAGAAAAAAAAAAAAAAAAAAAGGCACCCTAACTGGTTTGGCTCAGTGGTTAGAGCAGTCAGCCTCAGGGCAGAAGGGTCCCAGGTTCGATTCCGGTCAAGGGCGTGTACCTTGGTTACTGGCACATCCCCAGTGGGGGATGTGCAGGAAGCAGCTGAGCGATGTTTCTAACTCTCTATCCCTCTCCCTTCCTCTCTGTAAAAAAAATTAATAAAATATATATTTTTTAAAAAATCACTCTCTAGAACTCAGTATTCTCACTTGTAAAACTGGAAAACATCTACATAAGATCTCACAAATTAACAGCCTTAGATCAACAATAGCAATGCAACAATTTGCTGCTGTGACTAACCCCTCAGTTTCCTCTTCAAAAAAAAAAAAAAAAGCCTGACAATGTATTTCCTAGGCTCTCAGGACTACTTTTCACCGCTACAAGGAAGCCATGGATGGGTCTGTCGCCCTCTAATCAGAGGTCAGTAATAGGGCGGGGCCCCTCACCGAACATGATGTTGTATTCCGAGTCTCCATGCATGTCCGTCTGGTCCAAAGTATCTGGAAATAGCTTCACATAGCCGCCCCCGCAGTCGATGTTCTGCTCGTGTTTCACAGTAAACTGCACCACCAGCGTCTGGTCCTTGTTGCTGAAAGGCTCAAATCTGGCAGACAAGGCGTAAAAGCGGGCATCCTGGCTCGTCTGCAGCCCTAGCAGAGGACAGTAGTGAGGTCACAGCTGGCCCCAAGCCCCAGGGACCCTAAGAATCAAAGACACAGACAGCCATTCCCCTTCCTCTGCCTGCCCTGCTCCTGGGGATGCCCGGGCCGTCAGTGACCAGGGCTTCCTCCGGGAGGTCCTCCTGCATCTCGGCACCCAGCTCCAGGCTCTTACCTTTATCCTTTTCCAGGTCGCCATAGAACTTGCCGGCACTGAGGACGAATTTGCCAAAATCCGACTTGTGTTTGGATTCGGTCCAGCGGTCGGTCCACCCGTCTACAGCATCAGAGGGGCAGGTCAGTGTGCCTGTGCCGATTCCTCCCCGCCCCCCAGCCCCCTCCGCGGCCGCCCGAACCGATCTACAAGCCGCTGCTGCAGACGAGGGAGGAAATCCCCCGAGTGCCCGACCCCCAACCTCCAGTCTGACACCTCCTGCAGTCTAAGGTATCTTCGGGCGAACGCTAACTCCCGCCGCGGGAGGCCGTTGCGCCCTCCATGCTCCCCAGGGACGCGGAAAAGAAGTGTCGCCTGCGGCCCAGGCCCCCGAGGCCGCCGTGTGGGCCCTCGGAGCGGTCATTACGGGCGACAACGCAGATCCGGGCTGGGGGGCCGGGCGCGTCGTCGGAGCGGCCTCGAGGCGGGGCCAGGCGTTACCTCCGTCCAAAAACTGCTCCTTGAAGTAGACGGCGGGTTCGGCAGCGACCAGGCCGAGGAGGCCGAGCAGCAGCGGCACAGGTAGCAGCATGGCGGGCCGAGGGGGCGGCGGCGCAAAGCGGGCCCTTTAAGTCACCTCTCGGAAAGCAGCTCTGCAGCAGGGACAGGCGCTGCCGCTGGCCGTGCGTTTTTATACACGACCGCCCTTCAAACCAACATGGCCCTACCTCTTAGCCCGCCCCTCGCGCCTTTTCATTGGCTCGGAGCCGCGGTTCTGATTTCCCATTGGGCCTCCCTCAGTTCAGCACGTTAGGCTGTGCCTCGGAACGCTGGGTTCCCAGATGGCCGATTTCTATTGGCCGCACCACCGGCCAATGAGGGTCGACCACGCGTTGTGGGGGACACCCACCGGTGGGGTAGGGGCCTCCGGCCCCTCCGGCCGGGTCATGTGACCAGACTTTGGTCCAACCCCGCCCTCGCTCGCGCGCTCGGCTCAGGATCCGGGCGTTTAAAGAACCGGCGCGAGAGCGCAGGTGTCATCCCGCAGGATTAGGACCCCGCTCCAGCCTTCCCTCCTCCCATCCCCTCTGCAGGGAGGTGTAAGCAAGATTTCCTATCCTTGCATTTGGAGAACACCCATACGAAGCGCCGTTTCTCTCTGCCTCGGTCCCTCTCCCACCGCCCCTAATTGCTCCACCCCCGGATGAAGCAGAGGGCACCAAGGGCTTGGGCTCTGGGTCTTCACACTTGACCCCGGCGCCACAGTCCTGCAGAGAGAATTCTAGCTCTCCCCTCTGTGCGGTCCCTAGCGCCTGGCTTCCTGGATGACTGCTGCCGCGTGACCTGGGGCAAGCCGCTTAGCCTCTCCAAAGTCACAGGAGCTCCTGAGAGGCCAGGAAGAACGACCCTGGGCAGCGGCTGCCCAGGAGAAATGCTTTCAAAGCCTTTAGGATATCCTGGGACAGGGAAGGAAGCCCAGAAGGCTCCAAGATGTGACTCTAGGCTGTGATTGCTAGGGCCCGGTAAGGTGGTTACCCTAACTGCGGCCTGCCTCTCCTTTTCTACCCCGCTCCCCCCCCCCCAACCCCCACTCCCACCTCATCCCCAGTAAATGAAAGGGGTCGCTGCTTTGTGGTTTTCCACAAACGGCCTGGCTTTTGCAATTAAACGGCCAAAGATGGGAGAGCAGGGGGTTCCGTTGGAGAGGAAGAGAGTAGACAGATGGTAAGGAAGATAAGATGGGGGGGGGGGGGGGAGGCAGGACTCCTGAGTCCAGAGTCTTCTGATGCAGGTGACTGACCGTGTGGAACACCAACTCATGCCTCTAGTCTTCAGGAAGGAGTAGGGCCCGGGGTTTTCCAAACTTTGAACAAAAGGGCCCTGGATCTGGGAACTTGGGAGTGAACTGAGGAATGGGAGAAGCTGGGGAATCCTGGCAACAGGGCAGGGCTGGGGAGCTTTCCCACTAGTGGTGGGAATTCAGAAAAGGGAGGAATGAGGGGTTTTGGAAAAGTTGGGATTCTGTCCCGCCCCCCCCCACCGCCCCCCAGGCTGTATGGCCCAAACTGGCCCCCTTAGAAGGAGTCCCACGTCTGGGGTGATCACTCCAGGCCTGCCACTGAGCCTCCTGTCTTCCCTCCCTTCCACTAAGTGCCATAGGTTTGGTGTTTCCTGTCTGAGGGTAGATTCTGTGCCATTTTGTTCACTTCACCATTCCCTGGTGTCTCCTGCAGCACCTGGCACAGAGCAGGCTTTAAAAACAAAACAAACAAACAAACAAAAAACCCTCATGATCTGTGGTAGAAGGAAGAACTCTTGAGGATATATATATATTTTTTGTAATGGGAAAAGTGCTTTGAAGGGACTTTGAGGAATGTATTCTGATTTTTAAAAATATATATATTTTATTGATTTTTTTACAGAGAGTAAGAGAGAGAGATAGAGAGTTAGAAACATCGATGAGAGAGAATCATTGATCAGCTGCCTCTTGCACATCCCCGCAACCAAGGTACATGCCCTTGACCAGAATCGAACCCAGGACCTTTCAGTCTGCAGGCCTACACTCTATCCACTGAGCCAAACCGGTTTCGGTTGATTTTTTTTTTTTTTTTTAAATCAGGACTTCACTGGAGGGTCATGATTGGGGGAGTATTAGTAACCCCATTTTCTAGGTTCAAAGAACAATTGTGATAGTTAAGTGAGTAAAGGCATACAGTTTAGAATAGTGCCTGTCACACAATCCATACTCAATTTAGTATTAATAAATACTGCATACATGTGTAGGCACTATTTCACAACTCTCACAACAGGCTGGGTTCATATTATCTCCATCCAGATGAGGAAACTGAAACAGAAAGATTAAGACATTTGACTGAGTGGCATAAATGGCAGACCTGGGATTACAATGTACTTGTTGTTTCTAGTAGTCTTCACTGATCTTATGAGACTGTTGACCATTTGAAATGTGGCTAGTCTGAACTGAAATGTAAATGTAAAATACACATCACATTTTCAAGTCTTGCCGAAACCGGTTTGGCTCAGTGGATAGACTGTCAGCCTGTGGACTGAAAGGTCCCGCAACCAATGTACATGCCCTTGACTAATCAAACCTGGGGCCTTTCAGTCCCCAGGCCAATGCTCTATTCACTGAGCCAAACCGGTTTCGGCCACAAATGTAATTTAAAATATTCTAGTAGCAATGTTAAAAACAAAATGGGTGCCCAGATTGGTTTGGCTCAGTGAATAGAGCATTGGCCTGCAGACTGAAGGGTCCTGTGTTCTATTCCGGTCAAGGGCATGTACCTTGGTTGCAGGCACATCCCCAGTAGCGAGTGTGCAGGAGGCAGCTGATCGATGTTTCTCTCTCATCGATGTTTCTATTTCCCTTCCTCTCTGTAAAAGATCAATAAAATATATTTTTTTAAAAACATTTTCAAGGCTTAGTATGGAAAAAAGAATATAAAACATTTCATTAGAAATGTTATAAAGTGTTGCCCTAGTCAGTAGTCAGCAAACTCATTAGTCAACAGAGCCAAATATCAACAGTACGATTGAAAAAAAAAATTTTTTGGAATTTCTTTTAAGAGCCAAATTTTTTATTTTTTTATTTTTATTTTTTAAATATAGTTATTGATTTTGTACAGAGAGGAAGGGAGAGAGATAAAGAGTTAGAAACATCGATGAGAGAGTCATCTATCAGCTGCCTCTTGTACACCCTCCACTGGGGATGTGCCCGCAACCAAGGTACATGCCCTTGACCGGAATCGAACCCGGGACCTTTCCGTCCCCAAGCTGACGCTCTATCCATTGAGCCAAATCGGTTTCGGCCAAATTTTTTATTTTTTAAATATATTTTATTGATTTTTTTACAAGAGGAAGAGAGAGGGACAGAGTTAGAAACAAAAATGAGAGAGAATCATCGATCAGTTGCCTCTTGCATATCACCTACTGGGGATATGCCCACTTCCAAGGTACACGCCCTTGACCGGAATCGAACCTGGAAACTTTCAGTCTGCAGGCCGGTGCTCTGTCCACTCAGCCAAACTGATTTCAGCAAGAGCCAAATTTTTTAAACTTAAACTTCTTCTGATGCCACTTCTTCAAAATAGACTCTCCCAGGCCGTGGTTTTTGTGGAAGAGCCACACTTAAGGGGCCAAAGAACTCTTGAGTTGCAGTTTGCCGATGGCCCTAGCTGGTTCGACTCAGTGGATAGGGTCAGCCTGCAGACTGAAGGGTCCCAGGTTTGATTGTGGTCAAGGGCATGGACCACAGTTGCAGGCTCCTCCCTGGCCTGGGCCCTTGTTGGGGCTCCTGTAGGAAGTAACCAATCAATGTGTTTCTCTCACATCTTTCTTTCTTTCTTTCTTTCTTTCTTTCTTTCTTTCTTTCTTTCTTTCTTTCTTTCTTTCTTTCTTTCTTTTATCACTGTCTTTCACTCTCTTTTCCACTCTCTAAAATTAAATGGAAAAATACCCTCAGGTGAGGATTAACAAATAAATAAAATAAAGAAAAGTTATAAAATATTTAAGTAACAAATGGACATATCAGATTTGGTTAGTTCTTCACATTAATTTCACCCATTTTTTAAAAATATATTTTATTGATCTTTTACAGAGAGGAAGGAAGATAGAAACATCGATGAGAGAGAAACATCGATCAGCTGCCTCCTGCACACTCGCTACTGCAACCAAGGTACATGCCCTTGACCGGAATAGAACACAGGACCCTTCAGTCTGCAGGCCAATGCTCTATTCACTGAGCCAAACCAATCTGGGCACCCATTTTGTTTTTAACATTGCTACTGGAACATTTTATTTGTTATTTTTTAAATATATTTTATTGATTTTTTTACAAAGAGGAAAAGAAAGAGATAGTTAGAAACATCTATGAGAGAGAATCATGGATCAGCTGCCTCTTGCACACACCCTACTGGGGATGTGTCCACAACCAAGGTACATGCCCTTGACTGGAATCGAACCTGGGATCTTTCAATCCACAGGCCAACGATCTATCCACTGAGCCAAACTACTCTTAGCCAGAACATTTTAAAAATATATTTTATTTATTTATTTTTTTTACAGAGAAGAAGGGAGAGAGCTAGAAACGTCGATGAGAGAGAAACATGCCCTTGACCAGAATCAAACCTGGGACCTTTCAGTCCGCAGACCAGTGCTCTACCGCTGAGCCAAACCAGTTTCGGCACGGCTAGAACATTTTAAATTACATTTGTGGCCAAAACCGGTTTGGCTGGCTGAAAGGTCCCAGGTTCCATTAGTCAAGGGCATGTGCATTGGTTGCGGGCACATCCCCGGTAGCAGGTGTGCAGGAGGCAGCTAGCTGATGTTTCTCTCTCATCAATGTTTCTAGTTCTCTATTCCTCTCCCTCCCTCTCTGTGAAGAATCAATAAAATATATTTAAAAATATAATAATAGCTGAAACTGATTTGGCTCAGTGGATAGAGTGTCGATCTGTGGACTGAAAGGTCCCAGGTTCTATTCCAGTTAAGGGCATGTACATTGGTTGCGGGCACATCCCCAATAAGGAGTGTGCAGGAGGCAGCTGGTCAATGTTTCTCTCTCATTGATGTTTC